AATTTATCAAATTATTATCACGACAAAATTAGATCATTATCACAGTATTATCACATTATTATCAACAACGAACGCATCAACATAAAAAGTCTCTGTTTACAGTTTAGTTCCGATATTAATCGTGTTTACACTATACTAAACTGTCTTTATTTACCATTTCTTATAACTTGATGCACATAAAAGCATTTTTTTTTCTCTCCCTCAAAACATGAACAGTGCCATCTAAGTTCAATGTGTAAGTAGCCCTGGTGTTGGTGCTGTTTTTAGGCTGATCTCGTGATGGGATTGAAGCTATTTAGGGAAACAGTTGAAACAGACATCAAGATGAATTGTAATGAAACAGACAATTGTAAATAACCATATTGTGTAGTGGGTAGCAACTTTAGTTGTAGTTACTAGACACATATTGCTGGGTGAATAAGCCATCCTCCCTGTTAAGTCTGTTAAGACATAAACAAACAACACCTAAATGCATGCTAAATTAAATTCCCTTATTGATTTGTTACAAACCAGAACTTACATGCTTGCTGTTGGATGATTAGTTGAACTTTTTTAAGTCTGTAGATACTATTCAGGATCTGATTAATCTACGGATCACATTTATTTTGACCTGTTCAAGCCATTTCAGTATTTTGGTGATGCTAATTAACTAAGTTGAAGTGGATCAAATATGTGAAAATTTTGAACTTCTTTCAAGTTCTTTTCAGGAGGATTGGTGGCATGTTGACAGGTTAGAGTTGTGATCTAGAGTGCATGCCTTAAGCTTCTAGCATCATTCCTGCATTAATGGGTGAAGGGAGTGTTGCTTTAGGTAGATGACAATCTAAAGAACACCAAGGTATTAGTTGCCTTAAGCTGCTAGCACCATTCCTTTACATTAATGGTGAAAGGAGTGTTGTTTTAGGTAGATGAAATCTATAGAAGAAGACCAAGTTAGTAGTTATGGTTTGGTTTCTGCCATGAATAAAAAATTTCGTTTACTGTTTTGCTCACTTCTGGACTGCTATGCTTTTGATATTGGTTATAATTGAACATAGTATAAAGGCGTGGGCATCTGTTTGATTACACATGTGCAGTATTACTTTAAGCTCTGCAGATGTATATACCATCATATACATATTTTTATATATACCGCCAAACCCTAAACTTCCGGATATAACAACGAAAACGACGATAGAGGTTGTCTTTAAGAGTTTTTAAGAGTTTTAGCCAAATGTTTTATAAGATAGTCTATATTTTTACAGCATGTATTGTTATATAATTTACTTATTCTAAATATATTTTTGCCGGTACAGTAAAATCTGGATCATGATTATGTTTTTTATGATGACTCCAGGCCATGACTCAACACTTACCGGTAAGAGCTTACCGGATAAATTGTTATACACGATGTCGTTTTAATTTGTTTCAATGCCTTGGGTTTGTGTATTGTTCTCTAAATCTAGGGACCAGTCTCATATTTTTGGGTAGCATATTGTATCAAGGCATGAAGCCAATATCTCATGGTCAACAAAGGTGGGCTGTTGGAAGGGTAAAATTATCAGCTAAGATGTGAAACTTAATGTCCATAATATTTTTGCTTTATATGGTTAGTAAGAAGGAATTTTGTATAAGGATATTTGGATCTTYAACATTATAATAGTCTATTGTTTTGGAAAGGTATTTTATTTTTATTTTGGGATAATTTTCACTTGTAATTCTTTGTTTTGTCTTTATTTTGTTGGTTTGTTTGTCTTAATTTATGAGCTCATCATGTTTTGGATACGATTGTAGTGTGAAGTGTTAGTTGAAATGTTAGATGCTATAGTGTATTATCCTTACACGGCTTGTCATATTATTCTTGATTGAATATTATTGTGCTTTTAATTTATAGGACAACACAATGCAAGGATTGTTTGTCTTGTTTGCAATGCTTAAGGATTTAGTTCTAAGATCTAATTTATCTGATGAAATATCAATTTGTAGGTGATTGTTTGTTGCATGCGACATTTGCAGGTCTAACCTTTAATCTACAATAGTTCTCTTTTGAACCTGATAAGGTACAAAGCCTTCTGCATTTCTGACTTTTGGTAAGGTACCAAGTTTTTTCCAAGTTTTTTTTTTCCAAGTTGCTTTCTCTAACTTCCTTTATGATCATTTTGTGGATTTTAGTTTGATGCTTCTAGCTTGATAAACTTATGTATTTACATGGCTCCATAAATCTGCTCTTGTTAAGTTAAAAATTTAATAGTATATGTTTGTGCTAAGTTGCATAGCTCAATAAATCGCTTGATATACTGCCCAGTTGGTATGTTTCTGAACTTCATGTTAGACTTGTTTCCCGTGCTATTGCTATATCAACAAGGGCTTGTAATTGACTAAAAAGTGCTTCACCTTAATTTATTTTTATTTGTTTACTAGCTGGTGGTAAATTTGGCTCCATAGCTCCATAAATCTGCTCTTGTTGGAGATTGATTGTTTCACCAGCTTAATCATTTAAATGAGGTGGTGATTGAACATGCACGACATAAAGCTCTCTGCAGATTACCTCTTTTTATAGCAGATTGGGCCTTACGGATCATGATGTTATTTTGTTTTTGCTTTATAAAGATTGTTTTTGTTCTTTTAATTTTAGCTCTTTTTGCTAACTTGGAACTATCACAKGGCATATTGAAATTAACAGATGGGAGAAATTCTCACATACCATATAGGGAGTCAAAATTGACCAGGCTTCTTCAATCTTCCTTAAGTGGTCATGGAAGAGTATCCGTAAGTCTTATATCTGAGTTTAAGGTTATTAAAGAAACATGTTTCATAGTTGCTTAATAAAAGCAACCCTTGGTTCTATGGGACCATTATACCATTTGCTCATGGATGCTTATTTGTTGTTTCCTTCTGTTTCAGCTAAATTGCACTATTACTCCCTCATTTTTTTGCCATATACTAACATTTTTTCGTGCAGATAATTAAATTTGGTTTTGATATGGTCTTTAATGCTGATAATTTGGAGTTTGGTGGAAACCTTGGGTTTATTCACTTCTTTTGGAGATGTTCGTCTTGTAGGAGTCATTTTGGTCGGTTTCTCCTTCTGTTTAATTTCAATGGTTGGGGTGGAATATATACATAGTGCACAAAACTTTCAAACAGCCCACTCTATTTTTTTGGTAGGCATGATTTGATGCAAAAACATCCCTTTTTTATATTTTCTATCTACTTGCTGGTTGTTATGATTAGAAGTTGGCCCTATGTACATTTTACAGGTTTATGTTTCTTGTTTATAACTTGATTGCTGGTTGATTTATGTTTTGATTTTGTTGATTGTTTATAATTCATGATATGAACTATGTTAGTTTTTTATTGTTGTGTTTCATCGTGATAATTGAGTTTTCATTTGATTTTTATTCATAAAGCTATATAAGTTCATCCTTGATGCATTTGAGTACTAAACTGAGATTAAATTGATCAACTTATGACTGGCAGGGGATTTTTTTTCTCAAGTAAATTGTGATGAGAAGGATATTGAAATCTGATGAGCTATATGGATGGAGTTGTACATGATAAGCATATTCAAGATGGGGGTAGAGAGGTAAGGGTACAAAAGCATAACACATCTTCAAGTAGTTGTTCTCTAAAAACAACAAATCATTGTGCCAAACTGCCGGTTGAAGCTGCAGTCTCAAGTTGGTAAATACTACTTAGATGCTTCTTGTAATTTACTCTCTGATTATTTAATGGTCAATTTGATACACAAGATAAGATGGATATGTGCTATCAATGTCTATGTATGATATAATAATAATATTGCTTTATTTCAATGGTAAAGGAGCAGGGTGACATTGCCCAAATACATAACAGATTCAATGGTAAAAGTCTTTGTGGTTCTTGCATCTAAAATCATCTTTTTATGGTTGAGATATATTTATATTACCTTTTTCCACCTATATTCCAGTGGATGCCAGTTGAAGAATATGCCAGTCTGCACTTTGTAAAGAAGAATGAATCCTTTGATCGCATTGCTAAGATATGCATGGGAAAGAAAGATAACAAATATGTTGGGTTCACTGCCTTGCCTACATCAACTGCTACATCCGCCAAGAAGAGCTATTTGTATTCCAATTATCAAGGACATTTGTCTGATTCTTAAATTCAATATGTATTTTATGTTTTGCTAAAGTAAGTTTGAGTGTCGAAACCGTTAAACATCCATCGGATAAGCATTTGGGTAACGGCCTTAAGTTAAGTCCCACATTAGGTGTGTGTAGCCTTTATACCGCAGGGGGTCTATGAATTTATGTGTACATCTTATATCACTTGGATCCTGATTTTGAGTGATACATCGAGTATTTTTGAGGTGTCAATTTCTCTATTCATAATAAAATTTGACATCCCGCCGCATTGCGCGGGCATACAACTAGTTAGTTTCTAAAGAGTTTGTATAGTTAACACAAATGAATTGGCTAACAAAAGATTATACCCTCTCTCTCTATATATAATTTATTATTAAATATATTATTTATAAAAAATTAAATTTAATATTATTTTTTTTCTTTTATATATATTTTTTATTACTTATC